GATACTACGTCATGTACGTTAGGATTGCGTTGGGATAAATCCAACGATTATTTGATTTCCTGTTTAATTCCGAATTACAAAACGCAGTGTACTATCTATCAAAAATTTTTGATCCACTCGGCTGGATTTCTCCTATTGCGATTGTGACAAAGATATTCGTTCAAGAATTGTGGACATGTTAGCTTGATTGGAATTGTGCGTTACCTCAAGATCTTTCTTCTCAGTGGCTGGATTTTCTTAATGAATTAAAATATATTTCTGATATATCAATTCCTAGATGGTATGGAACATTTTCTGCGTCTAAAATCGAAGTGCACGGGTTCGCGGACGCGTGTCAACGGACTTTTGGTGCGGTAGTATATACTCGTGTGTGCTATAACCATAAAAAAGTATATGTAACACTTGTCACATCAAAAACAAAAGTAGCTCCTCTTAAACGCGTTACTATTCCGAGACTAGAATTGTGCGCGGCAGTATTGTTGACANCGCCGAACTCATCAGAATTAATTTCGTCCCAAACTTGTATGGCATATACACACGTCGTTTGTAATAAATCTGTACTATTAGCTACTCTTATGGTATCGATTATAACCGATCTGGGAGAACGCTTCATGGCACGTGCTTTAATTGATCAAGGTTCGGAGGTTTCTTTTTTGCCGAAGCTATGGTTCAGTTTTTAAACATTTCAAGAAGTAATGCTAATATTCCAATCGTTGATATTGGTGCTCAAAAAGTTGGACACTCAAGAGAAGTAATTAACCTCAATTTTTCATCGCACTCAAACCCCGATCAAACATTTAGTACTAAAGCACTTGTTCTTAAAAAAACTCACGTCGTATCTACCACCTAAACATTTGTACTCCTCCAACTGTGATCATCTTAAAAATATACGCGAGAATATAGCTCGCTGATCCTGATTACTTTTCTCAAGAACCAATAGAGGTCATTCTTCGAGCAGACATATACGCTCAAATCATTGAAAATGGAATCAGAAAAGGTGACGTTAATGCACCTATTGCTCAAAAAAACTCAGCTTGGTTGGATATTGTCTAGTCCTGTTAACAATACTCCATTTGAATTAAAAGATTTGATTCAACGATTTTGGCTACGAGAACAACCCGAAGCTCAACTGTACCTCTCAGTAAGGAAGAATCAGATTGTGAAGAATATTCTCAAAATACTTATCAACGAAATTCCGAAGGACGATTTATCGTGTAACTTCCATTTAAAAATACTCTTATTGATTTGGGTGATTCGTACACTCCAGCATCTAAAGTTCTTTTTGCAATGGAAAATCGTTTTAAACGAAATTCTAGTTTAAAAAGTAAATATTTGTCTTTTATGAAAGAGTATCATGATTTGGGTCACATGATAAAACTACCACACGATCAATCATTTTGTACTCCTCACTTCTTTTTACCTCATCATGAGGTGATCAAAGAAACAAGCACCACAACAAATCTATGAGTGGTTTTTAATGGATCCCAAAAAACATCATTGGGAGAATCTCTTAACGACAATTTACATATAGGCCCAAATCTCCAGAACGATATTTCAGATATTTTGATGCGTTGGAGACGGTATCAACTTGTATTCACTGCAGACATAGAGAAAATGTACCGTCAAATCATTGTCCATCCAAATGATCGTAAATTTCAGCAAATTTTGTGGAAATCAACCATTATCAGTATACCAGTTAGCTACAGTAACATATGGCTTAGCTTGTGCCCCTTACTTGGCGATCAGGTGTCTCAAAGAATTGTCAATGACCCACCTCTAGCAAGCAATATAATTTCTAATGATATGTTCGTTGTGATATTATATCAGAAGCTGATGACTTAGAAACAGTAAAATCTCAAATTCTCCAAATTGACAATGCTCTGAAATCAGCTGGTTTTGTAGCAAGAAAATGGATGTCCAATAATAATTTAGTGTTAAACCAATTGTCAAAAGATCAACTTGATAAAGATGTTGCTCTGGTGCTCGATACTACGTCATGTACGTTAGGATTGCGTTGGGATAAATCCAACGATTATTTGATTTCCTGTTTAATTCCGAATTACAAAACGCAGTGTACTATCTATCAAAAATTTTTGATCCACTCGGCTGGATTTCTCCTATTGTGATTGTCACAAAGATATTCGTTCAAGAATTGTGGACATGTTAGCTTGATTGGAATTGTGCATTACCTCAAGATCTTTCTTCTCAGTGGCTGAATTTTCTTAATGAATTAAAATATATTTCTGAGATATCAATTCCTAGATGGTATCGAACATTTTCTGCGTCTAAAATCGAAGTGCACGGGTTCGCGGACGCGTGTCAACGGACTTTTGGTGCGGTAGTATATACTCGTGTGTGCTATAACCATAAAAAAGTATATGTAACACTTGTCACATCAAAAACAAAAGTAGCTCCTCTTAAACGCGTTACTATTCCGAGACTAGAATTGTGCGCGGCAGTATTGTTGACATGAGTAATTAAACGTATAGTTAAAGTTTTAGACATTTCTCATGTTCCGGTCCATTTGTGGAGTGATTCATCAATTGTTCTGGCCTGGATCCAGAATCATCCATCCAGATGGAAGGAGTATGTTCGCAATAGAGTTACGCAGATCCAAGATTTTTCGTTGGTGCAGTGGCATCACATTTCTGGAAAACAAAACCTTGCGTCATGTGGTATCAATCCATCTAAGCTGGTTAATGAAAGGTTATGGTGGTCCGGTCCTGATTGGTTGTCCGATACCAATTCGTCGTGGTCTTCAGAAGTTCCAACATCATTGTCCAATATTCCTGAAGAAGATCATACATTTTGTGCTCTAGTCGCTAGGCCGACCAAGGCAGCGTGGGAGTTGATCGAAGGATATTCCGGTTTAACGAGATTGCTACACATTACATCATGGTGTTTACGGTTTGTAAATAAGTGTCGAACACAAAGATTGCTTTCTGTTGTAGATTTTTTGTCACCACAGGAGCTTCATAACGCACTTATGGTATGGGTTCGTCAAACTCAAACTCAATATTTCTTCGACGAAATCAACACACTGCTAAATCACAAACGTCGTGTCCTTTTGTTGTTGGGAATGGTTTTCTGCGATTATCTGGGGGTTTGAAATTTGCGAATTTGGTTTGGACTGAGAAGCATCCTCTTATCTTATCGAAGGCATCATTTTTGACTACGTTGATCATTGATTATCATCATAAGATAAATCTACATGCTGGAACTCAATCAACTTTGGCCTCTATTCGTCGTCAATTTTGGATCGTTGATGGAAGGATCCCAGTTGCGTATATTCATCGATGTCTTCCTTGCGCTCGAGAGAGAGTTTCAACAAGTCAAGAAATTATGGGTCAACTGCCATCAACATGAGTAACTCCAGGACGACCATTTCTCAACTCAGGAGTTGATTATGCTGGGCCCTTTTTCTTACGTACTTTTCGTGGACGTTGTTCAAAGACATACAAGGGCTGGTAGTAATCGTTTGTATGTCCATCTAGAAGCGGTTACTGATTATACTACATCAGGATTTATAGCAGCTTTTAAACGATTTACTGGCCGCAGAGGAATTTGCGCAACGTTGTCCAGTGATCGTGGTACAAATTTCGTGGTTGCTGATAAAGAACTTCGTAATTTGCTGTCAGTTGCTTCGTCAGAATGGAAGGAAATAGTTAATCATCTATCGAATGATGGAACACTGTGGAATTTTAAGAAGCAGCTGTGCTAAAAAAGCTACGAAACTTCATCTTAAGAGGATCATCGGAGATACTTCTCTAACTTATGAAGAATTCGCTACAATATTGGTCGAAATATAAGTAATATTACACGCGACCCCTTTGCCGTTTATCCGATGATCTCAATGATATTCAGTCACTGACGCCCTCTCATTTTTTGATAGGTGGAATTCTCGCATCAGTTCCGGAAATGTCACTAATCGATATAAAATCGTCTAGACTTGGTCGACAGCAGTGGACGAAATATTATCTTCAATACATTCAAAATAGAACAAAATTGTTTGATTCAAAACATCCCCTTAAAGTTGGTTCTTTGGTCCTAATCAAAGATGTAAGAACACCTCCATCTAAATAGCCTCTGACCCGAGTTTTGCAATCAGGCGGGAGCTGATGGTATCTCAAAATTCTGTTTACTTCCTATTGTTTGAAGTTTAGGAATGTAATTTTATTCAATAGTTTTAGTTTACCAATTTATTTCAAAATCTCATGCGATTCAATACTGTTTAATTTTTCATTCTATCTTTATTATTGCTCTATTTTGTTATTGCTCATATTAATTCACAGGGGCGGCGGTTATGTTAAAAATTTGAATTTTCTTTTTGATGGTGCGCAAACGCAAACCACTTTCGGGGGTGACCCACTGAGACGACAGTACACAGTTCGGGTGGTTTGTGACTTTTGCTCGACAATCTTTATCAAACTTTATGTGGGGAAGTTAATAGTTTTTATTTATTCTCCCAAAATAAATCACTATTTAATAAAATTAGTGTACTATTTATTTACAAACTTTTTAACATAAGTTGTTGAAAGGAATAAATATTTTACATAATAACAAACTTTCGTTACCAAGATATAAGTTTAAAAACTAGGTCATTAAATCTTTTTGTTGTAAAAGGAAAAATATATCGTGGCAGTAGTAGTAAACCATAGTAAACCATTGGTCATTGTTATGGTATTGAGTTGTCTGATTTAGAGCCATGGTTTTCAAGTTAAAACAGTTTTTCTTCAAGTTTATCCAGTTTTTGGTTAACCTTTGGTAACAAACATAGAATACTATCTGTTTGTTTAACCTCTCGGTTTTCAACCTCCCAACCTCCGTACTCGGCGATTTTTGATAATAAATTCATTAGTTTTAAGCACGTTTAGCGAACTTTATTGATATCGTACGCTATTAATACTTTGTGTCTATTGAGATTCGAGTCCACTCGACAATGATTCACACAATTGCAATAGACATAAGATTTAATGTAGCCAGATATATCATAAGTGAAATAGGAAAAGTTTATTGTAAGCAACTTAAATTTTTAATACAGTTTAACTAAAGTTAAAGTTACTAGTTTAAACAACTAAATTGCTAAAGTATATTAATACCTACTTAATTAATTTATTTATTTAAGACATTGCTAACTATATCAGATTTCAAGTATATAAACTCGTAATAAAAGCGCTAAATTTCAATAATGAAATAACATACCAGGTGTTGTTTTTAAAAACCCAACGCGGGTTACTTTAGTAACATCAGAAAACAGAAGAATCGCAAAATAGTCATATCTCAATTACTCATCCGTCTTTGCTTATTCATCGCATTATAACGATGACACATTCGTTATTTAAACTTTTTTTATAATGAATACTCTAAACGAAAGTATTGTTATGGAGCTGGTACGTGACTAACAACGATAACATTATAAAAATATTCAGCGATTATGGTGAAACTTTCATATTTCTGAATAACAAGCGCTTGTATAAATAGCACGAATATGCGATGTTTTTTAACAGTTTACTCTGGTAGCTGTTCGCATCAGTTGGTGTTTCGGTACAAACGGTAAGATTAATATTTAATAATTTCCATCTTGCAAATTAATTTTTATTTTTCATTTTTCAGAACATCACAAGCCTTTGTCCTTTTCGATCCCACATTACCCAAAATTTCCGTTGAACAACACCTGTTGGTTGAGACTTTGTGCCAGCCTTTTGCGCAAGCACGGGTGACCACCTCAGAGGGGAGGATTTTCCTCGTTGTGCATGTGGAGTCGCCTAAAAAACGACTCCATGTGTTCAATGGGGTCTCTCTTACTCCCTGAATCGATAAACAAAAACCCAATTAAACAAGCGCAAACAAAACTCTTAACAACATAAAATCTATTGAAAAAAAATCCTCATTGAACATTGTAACCATTGAATTAGTACTCTAAGAATGCTTCCCCACGGTTAATATCCGTTGGGATGGTTTGATGAGTGCTCCCTTTGACAATGCGTGAATATCCTGAGTACTGATTTTTCCTATATCCACCAGGCTTCATCCTTAACCATCAAGCTTTTCTATGGAGTACTTGCAGGACTTCAATAGAGTCGTTATTTTATTTTAGGTTATGAAATACCAATAACTTATTGATGAAGCATGTCAAAGGCATTGTTGTATTGTGCTCAAAAACTAAACAATCAACAAAACAATTTTTCTACTTAACTATCTCCATCACATTGCACAGAAGAACGATAATATATGTAAGTTTTTTAACTGCGGTCTACAATTATTTCAATAAAACATTTCTTTAATTTAGCCTTCGACATCAGGAATTCAAACATCGTGCTCTTCACGTTCACGTATAAGATCTTTACCATTAAATCTATTTAATGTGTTACTCGGTACAAGGTAGTTACTATGTCAGTGATTGTTTTGAGGATTTTCAATAGATTTTGATATATGTATAACAAATAAAAAATATCAAAAGATATAAATGTTGTTTTATTTTGATATGGACTACAAAAAACACAAAATTTATATTGTTATATCAGGTTTTCTTATTTACAAAATCTTCTGTTCACAAAGCATTAATGTCTTGAATATTAAAATAACCATCAAGAAATAAAGAGATACTATTCCTTCTATTGAGATACATTGAGGTGTTATTACTGAAACGTATTAAAGTGGACGTGTCAAATAATGAACGTTTTCCTAATTATTACGATGTAATTGGCAGTGATAGGGTGTAAATTATAAACAGAAACGTGCCAGTTGAGTTGTATCAGAATAATAAGATCAATTCGTTATGATGACGCTATTACTGTTTTTACGCTAATCAGAGATATACCTATGTTATATACAAAAGTAAAAACAGGATTATGAAATGAATTCTTATCTAGATGACCGATATCGTCCTCATGACGAGAGGAAGAATTTCTCAGTAAGTACTCGTGAACTGCCCTCCTAAGAATAAACACCACAGTTGAAATTTGAGACATTTAAAGCGGTTATATTTGCTGCAAAGTTAATATGGTTACAACAATTACTTCTCTATACAAGAGGTACGATGATTTGTCGTGTTGATATATTGATTTTGTGATATAAGAGTTGCATTTTCGGATATTTATTAAAAATTAGCAAGTACGTAGTAATTTTTTATAAGAATGTATTTCGTTCCCAAGCAAAAGGCCGTATGTGACTATACAGGATGTTCCATCTCAGACGAGCCACCCCGTATATTTTTTATCCCATAGTGATTAGAAAAGTTTCCAGAAACCCGTCGAATGATTTTGTTTGGGGGACATCTTTTGACGTCATTTGAGGCTTGAACGAGCAACCCCCTAAGAGGGGGTGCTTCAACCCCTCAAAATTGAATAGGGGTTGAGTGATACTTCATTTGAAAGGTCTTGGAAGCCTCTTTACAACGGTGTATGAAAAACGTAAATTTGATGAACCGTTTTCGCCTAAAATCAATTTTTTAGCTCAAATGAGCAACCTTGAATATTTTGGTTATAAATAAAAAAATTGAATTGTTTTATCATGTTGTTTTATTTATCACAATCAAAAAATCAAATCTGCGTTTTTAAATCAAATGTTCAAATTGTCCTCCATTGACTTCCATACAATAATACAATCTTGACTGAAAACCGTCTCTAACATGGTTCAGCATAATTGGAGTTATGTGACGACACTCATTTACAATTCGTTGGCGTAGTTCGTCCAAATTTTCAGGCTGAGTCACAAAAATCTTGGACTTAAGATGTCCCCACAAGAAGAAGTCCAGAGGGTTCAGGTCAGGAGAACGGGCAGGCCACTCTATAGGACCTCTTCTTCCAATCCAACGACCGTGGTATTGCAAATTGAGGTATTGGCGAACTGGTGCGGCGTAGTGAGGAGGAGCTCCGTCTTGTTGGAAATGCAATTGTTGTTCAAGTAGTAGAGGATCGTTTTCTAATTTTTCTGTTATTAACGGATCAATCACATTTTCCAGCATTTCAAGATAAATTTCGCCATTTAAATTACCAGGAATAAACAGAGGTCCAATTATGTGGTCTCCCAAAATTCCTACCCAAACGTTTAGCTTTTCCGGATGTTGAGTGTGAGCTTCTCGAAATACATGAGGATTTGTATCGCTCCAAATTCTACAGTTATGCCGGTTAACCTCTCCATTAAGTGAAAAAGTGCATTCGTCAGAAAAGCAAACGTTGTACAAGAAATTTGGGTTATTGTTGATACGCTCGGCCATAATTTCGCAAAACTCTTGCCTTCGATCCAAATCATCATCATTTAATTCGTGAATTAATTTAATTTTGTACGGATGGAACTTGTGTTTATGTAAAATTCTGAAAACGTTAGATTGGCTAATACCGGAAGCTGCAGAAAGTTGTCGTACAGATTGCGTGTTTGGCATAAGTTGGACATGTCCCAAGACCGCCACCGCTGCTCCTTCATCATTCACAATTCCAATGGGTGCCCTTTTTTTATCCATTACTGAACCCGTCTCAACAAATTTTGAAATCAATTCCATTACGTACTTATGGCGAACACTACGTTCAGGATGGTTTTGGTTAAATATCCTTGCAGTCGCTCGGGCACAATTTTGATTTTGGTAATAGAGGCTAACCAGCTCAACACGTTCTTGCAATGTGTACACCATAATTATTTTTAAAATTTTAAACAAATCAGCAAAGTAGTAACTCAACAGATTGATTTAAACGTATTATAACCAGATAAACACCTTCTAAGAACAAACAATGAAGGCAACATATGGAAATGTTTTGATTTTTTTTTATTTTTTAGTTTGAGAGAATTTATTATTGTATGGAAGTCAATGGAGGACAATTTGAACATTTGATTTAAAAACGCAGATTTGATTTTTTGATTGTGATAAATAAAACAACATGATAAAACAATTCAATTTTTTTATTTATAACCAAAATATTCAAGGTTGCTCATTTGAGCTAAAAAATTGATTTTTGGCGAAAACGGTTCATCAAATTTACGTTTTTCATACACCGTTGTAAAGAGGCTTCCAAGACCTTTCAAATGAAGTATCACTCAACCCCTCTCCCCTATTCAATTTTGAGGGGTTGAAGCACCCCCTCTTAGGGGGTTGCTCGTTCAAGCCTCAAATGACGTCAAAAGATGTCCCCCAAACAAAATCATTCGACGGGTTTCGGGAAACTTTTCTAATCACTATGGGATAAGAAATATACAGGGTCGCTCGTCTGAGTTGGAACAATCTGTATAGTTTGTACATACGGATAACTATAAATGAATCTGTAGCAAAATTACCATATAAAAACACCATATCTGAAAGAGTCAATACCGATACAATATCTTGGTTATTCACAATTAAACGACTTGATTGTTATGTTTTTTTAGAAATGGAAAGCAAAACAAATATACAGGTGTTCCACGTAAGCAACAAAGTACATAAATGGCATTAAGGAGCCGAGAAACGCAGTTCTTCATTAGACAAAAGTTGTAGGAAATTTAGCACACTATAAACGGAAAATATTTTTATACATACAGGCTGTTCCATAGCGAAGTACTGAAATAAACATATGTTATTTTAAATGGAATGATATAGTTTTTATTACATAGGGTAAACGCCAGTGTTTGATCTGTTAAGGATTTTTTAATGTCCGTGTTTGACCGACCCATATTATTTTTCTTGTAGATCCCTCTGCCTTTACATAAAATGATCAAAATATGATCAAATACACATCTGATTCATTTAAAGTTACTTACCCTACATATAAAATATAACATCATGAAGTANTCAACCCCTCAAAATTGAATAGGGGAGAGGGGTTGAGTGATACTTCATTTGAAAGGTCTTGGAAGCCTCTTTACAACGGTGTATGAAAAACGTAAATTTGATGAACCGTTTTCGCCTAAAATCAATTTTTTAGCTCAAATGAGCAACCTTGAATATTTTGGTTATAAATAAAAAAATTGAATTGTTTTATCATGTTGTTTTATTTATCATATCAAATCTGCGTTTTTAAATGAAATGTTCAAATTGTCCTCCATTGACTTCCATACAATAATACAATCTTGACTGAAAACCGTCTCTAACATGGTTCAGCATAATTGGAGTTATGTGACGACACTCATTTACAATTCGTTGGCGTAGTTCGTCCAAATTTTCAGGCTGAGTCACAAAAATCTTGGACTTAAGATGTCCCCACAAGAAGAAGTCCAGAGGGTTCAGGTCAGGAGAACGGGCAGGCCACTCTATAGGACCTCTTCTTCCAATCCAACGACCGGGGTATTGCAAATTGAGGTATTGGCGAACTGGTGCGGCGTAGTGAGGAGGAGCTCCGTCTTGTTGGAAATGCAATTGTTGTTCAAGTAGTAGAGGATCGTTTTCTAATTTTTCTGTTATTAACGGATCAATCACATTTTCCAGCATTTCAAGATAAATTTCGCCATTTAAATTACCAGGAATAAACAGAGGTCCAATTATGTGGTCTCCCAAAATTCCTACCCAAACGTTTAGCTTTTCCGGATGTTGAGTGTGAGCTTCTCGAAATACATGAGGATTTGTATCGCTCCAAATTCTACAGTTATGCCGGTTAACCTCTCCATTAAGTGAAAAAGTGCATTCGTCAGAAAAGCAAACGTTGTACAAGAAATTTGGGTTATTGTTGATACGCTCGGCCATAATTTCGCAAAACTCTTGCCTTCGATCCAAATCATCATCATTTAATTCGTGAATTAATTTAATTTTGTACGGATGGAACTTGTGTTTATGTAAAATTCTGAAAACGTTAGATTGGCTAATACCGGAAGCTGCAGAAAGTTGTCGTACAGATTGCGTGTTTGGCATAAGTTGGACATGTCCCAAGACCGCCACCGCTGCTCCTTCATCATTCACAATTCCAATGGGTGCCCTTTTTTTATCCATTACTGAACCCGTCTCAACAAATTTTGAAATCAATTCCATTACGTACTTATGGCGAACACTACGTTCAGGATGGTTTTGGTTAAATATCCTTGCAGTCGCTCGGGCACAATTTTGATTTTGGTAATAGAGGCTAACCAGCTCAACACGTTCTTGCAATGTGTACACCATAATTATTTTTACATCAAAGTAGTAACTCAACAGATTGATTTAAACGTATTATAACCAGATAAACACCTTCTAAGAACAAACAATGAAGGCAACATATGGAAAGGTTTTGATTTTTTTTTATTTTTTAGACTGGTGGCTATTTATGGATATATTTATATTTTTTTAGATATTCCTTGGATCCTTCTTTTTTACATTTTTTTACAAAAATGGTCAGACACTGACCAACGGTTAATTACTGGCGTTTTACCCTATTCTGATTCTACACACAAAACTAAGTTGACTTTGATAAGACATGTTGATACCTAGTGCTGTTAGTTTTTGAGTTATTTTAATTAGAAGCTTTTTTAGCAATTAACACTGTGTCCTTCAAATCTGAATTTCTTGGCGACTGATCGAGCTAGAAAGTTAAAA